TCCCAAGTGTGTCTTTGATCTCTTGTCTCACATCCTGTCCAATTCTTTTACCAAAGAGTCAAAATTAATGCATTGTCCTGAAGCTTGTCCATATACCTTGACCACTTTCACTACTTCTTCACATTCACGGGGCTCCGCCTTACAGAAAAACAGACTATCATCAGCAAAGAGAAGATGAGATACCGAGGGACACGCACGCGTGATGCGCATCCCCGTTATCTTTCCTTGGTTCTCTGCGTGATTTAGAAGGCTAACGAGCGCTTCCGTGCACAGAATAAAAAATGAAAGGGGACAGAGGATCCCCCTGTCGTAGACCTCTCTCCGGGATGATATTCCCTCTTGTTGTCCATTCATGAGGACCCTGTACTTTACTGATGTGACGCATCTCATTATCATAGTTATCCAGACTTCAGAAAATCCCATTTTTCTCATGGTGGCCTCAATGAAGGACCATTCCATCCTGTCGTATGCCTTGCTCATATCTGTTTTAATAGCCATCCTCTTGTTTCGGCCACTCGGTTTTGTTCTTAAAGCGTGGAACAATTCCTGAGCTATCATAATGTTGTCAGATATCTGTCGCCCAGAAACAAAGGCTGACTGGGTCTCTGATATCCTGTCTGGTAGGAATTTTTTTAATCTCTGGCATAAGACCTTAGAGATAATCTTGTAACTCACATTGCATAAGTTAATAGGGCGTCACTGACTCATCTGGTTGTCTTATCGACTTTTGGAATGAGACATATGTTGGTATCATTTAGTCCAGATGGCACTGTTCCCTCAAATAGGAATTGATTAACCATAAGAGTTAAATCATCCTTTACAATATCCCAGAACTTCTGGTAAAACAGCGCCGTCATTTCATCGGGTTCTGGAGCTTTCTTTGGGTGCATCGCGAAAAGAGCCAATTTAACCTCCCATTATGTGACCGGAGCTGTTAAAGTCTCATTGTCTGTTAAGGTAATCGTGGTTGATACTTCAGAGAGTGCCTCCTCTATTTCCTCAGAATTTGATGATTGAAATATGTGTGTAAAGTAATTTATAGCAATGGCTACCAATCCTTCCTCATCCTCCACCACATTCCCATCTTCATCCAGCAATTGGGTAATCCTATTCCTTGCTCTCCTTTGCTTCGTAAGGGCGTGAAAAAATTTAGTATTCCTATCTCCTTCTCTCAACCAGAAAACCCTACACTTTTGCTTCCAGAACATCTCCTCTGCCTTAAGAGCGTCAGATAGTTCTTTAATAGCTGCCGCAATTTCCTCAGTAGTGGCATCATCATTTGAAGATAAACAATCTACCTTTTCCTTGAGCTCCTCCACTGTTCTCTCAAAATTCAGATTATGCTGCTTTTTCCACTCACTTAATGCTCGACGGCAGCTTGCAATATGCTCCATTATACTTGCGTCTGGTGAGAGGTCCGGTGACTTCCATCCCTCAAGAATAATTTGCCTAAGCTCCTCATTATCCAACCATCTCTTATCAAATTTGAAATTTCGTGTTCTCCTCGGCTTCTTTTTTAGAATATCAGCTAGTATTGGACGATGATCCGATCCCTAGAGTCTCATATACTTCACTTTGGAATGAGGGAATTTTTCATGCCAATCCTCATTCCCAACAGCCCTATCAAGGCGGCATCTAACTGTCGTCCTCCCTGCTCTATTTCCAACCCAAGATAGCATGTTTCCTGTGAAAGGAAACTCCAACATACCACAATCACTTAACATTTCCCTAAAGGGCAAAAAGGAGCTATCAGGGCGTTGTATGCCTTCTTCCTTCTCTGAATGACAAGTAATTTCATTAAAATCTCCTATCATGAACCAAGGTCCATTTCGTGTTGTTGAGAAGCGCGTAAGACGCTCCCAAACTAAATCTCTTCTATCTAGTACATGATCCCCATAACAAATGTCATGTAAACTTTTATTCCATCAATGACTGCCTCAATGTCAATCATTCTGTTATTTGAAAATAAAACATTAACTTGAAAATCATCCATATAAAAAAGTGCTAAACCTCCACTGAGACCAAGTGGCTCAACGGTAAACAAACGATCAAATCCTAAGTTGGCCTGAATGTCTTGCAACAGCAGCCTTCTGTTCTTCGTTTCAGAGAGGAACACAAATCCTGGGTGATGCCTCTGACACATCTCCGTAAGGCGTCGAACTGTGAGGTTGCTCCCTATACCTCGACAATTCCAACTGATTGTCTTCATGGATGAGCTTTTGATGGGAATTTGGAACGCATCAAACCATCACTCTTGTTTGGACCTTGACCTCAAGTCCTCTCCCCGCGACGGCGGCTTGAATCCTTCTGATCCTTTGGCCCAGGGGACATCGCAGCCATTGTCCATGGAGATCCTCGACGAAGAAACTCATATTTCTTACTTTGAATACCCAAAGGAGCATTCATCCTATGAGACTTGGCCACACTCTGCTGCGCATTAGAGCTCTGTGGAGCTAGACTGACATGTGACACCTCCAACTCCTTCAGCTCCTCCCCCAATAGATCACACTCTTGATATTGGTCTTCCATCATTCCACCTTCACCTTGCTCCCCAATCTCCATATCATTCTCCATGTCTTCAGAAGCTACAATCATTTGGTCATTCTCCAAACCATTAACTTCAACTTGGAGACTCTTTGGGGAGAAAGTGAGAACTCTAGTTGCTCTTTTAGCTCGAATTGTAACATTCCCATCATGTGCGTGTGAAGTTCCAGTAGGTGAAACAATCATACTCGCCAGACACCTTGTCTTAGTACTCTCATTTTGTCTAAGGGAATTGTTGCGAGCTAGAGGAGGCTCATCTTTGGAATTCTCATCTGAAGTCCTCCATTGTTCATATGGAACAACAGCTTGGCTCTCTACCGTGTCCACTATGGCCGCCTTCTCATTAGCGCGCTCTTTCGATCCTATCATTGGTCGTGGCCTCCCCCTCCAAATGTGTTCTTCTTTTCTCGTGTAAGGTTCCCGGCTATGGCGAGTGTCACCACGGCGATGACCACTTCGGACCTCATGCGATCACATCATCCTATCCTTGGGTGCATTATCATACCGATTAGCCTCTCTCCTAGACCCATCATATGCTCCCCTTCTATCATCGACACCCAGAGGTCTCCCTTGCGGAGCTGTCCTTTCCCTTCCATAATTCCCCACTCCATCACTATTAAATTTCGTCACATGACGAGTCACATTATAATTCCCAGCAAGAGCTCGTGCCTCATCATGCTGCAGTCCACCACGGTTCCGTGCATCAAACATCAACGAATGCTTGGCCTCATGTGCTCGAGGAAGAGACATGGAATCGCGATCAGTGACACGACCCGGCGGTAGTTGTACTCTAGAGAACACATTTTGATCACGTGGTGCCTGAAGCCGTGTCTGAATTTCATTTGTTGGACAGTAGTTTTTCTCGTGGGACAGCATTCCATAAGTAGTGCAGTGTTTGAAAAGCAGATCGTATTCTATCTGGATTGTAACAGCATCTCCTTCTTCTGATTCTACTTTCCTGGAAAATTTCAGAGGCCGGCGAGAATAAATCTCAATGAGCATACGCCCTTCTGTTAGCTCTAAAGTGTCGACATGTCCCAACCTTCCTCCTATTCTCCTCAAGTTCTTGTCTGTCCAAAGGTGCAAGGGTAAGCCAATCATTCTCACCCAGAAAGGAATGATCCAAGAGTAATCATCGTGAACAATTGGCTCCCACCGAACCAAGACAAACATACAGAAGTTGTAATGAAAAGGACCTTGTCGAAGAACAATATTTAGATCCTCCTCTGTATGAAAGTTCAAAAGAAACTTTCCATTGCCCAAATCATTAGCAACAAGCTTATCCTCCATACCCCATTGTGTGGGCATAGTTTGTAAGAGCTTTTCCACTTTCTGTTTCTTAGGGTTTAAAATCTTTCCAATAAGAGAAAGAAGAAACTCTTTAATAGCATTGGCATCATCATCGATTGACAATTTGATTGGATCATCATCGTCGTCATAGAGGATACCTTTGCCCTTCACATCTGCCATATGAGCAGAGTAATCTCTGGAAGTCGATCCCATTGATATAAGTCTGATAAACTAAAAACCACCAAGGGAGGAGGATGATGGGAGAACGTGAAATGTGTCGTGCCGTGTAGCAGGAGATACACCAAAAATGAGATAAGTACTCAAACGGAGTACAAGATACTGCGACCAAACGGTGAACGTACTCAAGGGAGTACGAGATCAGTTGATGCTCTTCCAACAGCGAAGCCCTTCCTAGTACTGTGTTGGATGTGCTGAAATGGTGATCACGAACCAAAGAAGACAAGAAAAGGTTGAAAACGTGATCTCGAAGAAGATCACAAGCTGATCTCGAAAACGTGATGTAGCCAACAGAGCGAGAAACGAAGACGAAGGAGAAGATGATGCAGTGGTGGCCGAAGGTGATTCAGCAGTGTAACGAAGGAGAAAGTGCTGCAGCGGTAGCCGTGGCGTAACAGCAGAGAAACAGCAACAATCACGAATCAGAAGAGAAGGGTCGATCCGATACCTAGAGTTATGTGATCACCAAAGGGTGACACAAAACCAAACCGTATATGACAAGGAATTGACAAGGATCAATCTCCGTGAAAACACGCCACCCACCAGCCAACAAAGGTTAGACTGGATCCCCGGCGTGTTCTATCTCTGAAGTGGGAGTGGATCTATATATATGTTTATAATTTATTTATATAAATAAAATAGTTGTTTAAAAAGACAAGCAAGATTAGTGCACTACTTTATTAAAAAAAATTATAACATTGGGCCAGATTGAGTCACAGACCAGATAGAAGTAGATCCAAGATGCGCCCATTTTGAAATAGCCACGGACTCACAGCGTATACGCACGTGACATTGGCACCGTCCGTTTCCTTTTTACATCGCACGAGACGTCTCGGACTCTTCAAAACCAAATACAAAAAATAACTCCCTCTACCATATTATCTCTCTCTAACTTCGTCTCTGATATCTCTCTTTCTACTGGAAAAGTTATGACGGATTGGGGACCTGTAGTGATCGCAGTGATACTGTTCGTGTTATTGACTCTGGGACTTCTCTTTCAGATTCTGGCGAAAGGTCGAGTCGTTGAATTCGGGAATGTGCAAACCAGCGGCGCTTCGATTCTTGCTCACTCCATAATTTCTTCGGGCTCATCACCATTTTTACCATCGCCATTCGTCTCCATATCTATACCGGTTAATTTTACCGTACCGAATTTATAATTTTATTTCGGTTATCTGGTTTGTTGTTGTCTTCTTCTACCGGTTTGTTTTAAAATTACAATTAGTCCTTTGCCTCTTTGTTTATAATCGCTCTTTTTTCTGGTCTAAACATCTTATGATATGTGATTATTAATCTGAATATGCATTTATACAAATTGTTTAAAAATCTACCATGTTTGATTCTGGGTTTGAATTAGGGTTTTGTGAACCGGTTTGGTTTTCCGGTTAATTTAGTTCTCGGTTTGATGCATGGATTATGAGGGTTAGAATAACGGGAAAAATGTTGAAAAAATCATCAACTTTCTGAACTGGATCATTATAATCATAATCTTCAACTTTCATAATGACCTAAAAATTCACATTTTTTTGTTGATTTTTTAAAGAAATTGCTAACTTTTCGTTGATGGAATTAATTTAGATATGACATTAATTACACTAACTGAACGTATTAATTCTGTTAATTTGTTTTGTTAACTAAAAACAACGTCATTTCTCTTACACTAATAAAATCTCTAAAAGCATTTTCTCCCAAATTAATTTGGAGATTCTCTCGACGATCAATCCTGCCGACATAGAAGCTACAGAGTTTGCACCGCTGAGTTTTCCTTTTTGATAATTTTTGTTCTTTTTATTTCTTATCTCCTCTTGATACGATCTGATTGAGACACAATTTTAGTTTGATGTGGAAGAAACAAATAGATCAAATGGGATTAGAAGATTTTTGGTGGTGGGTCGTGATTTAGGGTTTGTCGTTAAGAGAATCCCCAAATATATTTGGGAGAAAATGGTTTAGAATTTTTTATTAGTATAAGAGAAACGACGTTGTTTTGGTTAACGAAGCAAATTAACAGAGTTAATACATTTAGTCAGTGTAATTAACGTGGGGTCTAAATTGATCCAGTCAACGAAAAATTAGCGATTTCTTAGAAAGTCAACAAAAAGTTATGATTTTTCAGATCATTTCAAAAGTTGAAGATTATAATGGTCCAATTCCGAAAGTTCAGGATTTTTCAACATTTTTCCCTAAGAATAACGGTTAAAGCTTAACGATTTTGATAGATTCCTGTCTAAGCATCACTTCGGATTAATTTTCTTCCCTCTGGCCTGGTGATGAGTTTGCTTGAAATGGTTAAAGTCCGAAGAGAACCGACTTTGTTAGTGTGTCACTACATTGGCAAATCTAGAAAAATAATTTTGTGGGGACATAAAATAAATAAAAGAGAAGTACAGCTCTGAAAGAGTTTGAACTCTGGTCTAAAGGGGACAAATAAATAACTGAAACCAACTGCCCTATAGATATCTTATTGTTTCCAATGCAGAAATATATATATATATATATATATATATATATATATAACTGAAATATATATATATATATATTACATTTTTGTGGGGCATCTGCCTCCACCCCACACAATGTAGCTTCGCCAATGTGTCACTATCTTTCTTACGCGTCGTCGATTGGGGGTTGATTTTTTTTTTTTTTTTGAGTTTCATTTGCGTGCTACGTGACATTTTGATGATTTAATTAGCAGTTTCTATCTATCATCTACAATCACCTTCCTTTCCCTTTTCCTTTCTCTTGATAACTAATTTCATCTTAGTAGTATACTAATCTATGTATATACACTATATTCATCGAGTTTTAGAACTTGATAGAATAATTAGATTGTTATTCAATAGGGATCGTATGATTCTGCGTCTAACCAATATGGCACAGTTGAAGAAAACAAATGATATACAACGAGAAATTTGTCTTCTTTATGTGTATGCACCATTGCACCACAATTTTTAGGAAGCTATTAAAAAAAATGGTAGAATTTCAGTAATTTCTTTCTTTAAAACTTGGAGACTACAAGATAGTATATGTATATTGATTCTTTAAAATTAGGGGCGAGAACCATATTCTGTGATATCCTACCTAGACTATGTTTACAGTGGCGGAGGTAAGAAAAACGTTCAGGGGGTCTATTTCAAAATTAACATATATTATAAAGGTCTATAGTTTAAATTTACAATATTTATCTACACCTGCTCCCTGCGTATGTACCAAGAGTGAAAAATCTGTTTGTAGCTTTCTCATCCAATAGCCTCAGTCACAAAAAGTAGGATACATTCTCTTGTGTGTCGCAGTTTTCTAATTCAACCTGAGCTCTGACAAACATTGAACACAAATTAGATGTCATGTCTAGATATAGCTGAAACGATATGTTTCAAAATGGTTAAGTTAACCAACCGTTAGTCGAGTGGTGAAAGATTTAAGGCATAGTATAAACTTATTTATTTTGGGTTTGATTTTTACTAGGAACAAAGTTACTAAGTTCGCGTGTCTATGCAGTTGACATGACTCATGGACGGTTATCCTCGTATTAGTCGGAGGGCGTTTCAAACTTAGATTAGGTAATGTGGCAATCAACTTATTTTGTAAATATGTTAATGTAAATATGTTTTTCTGGGGACTGTCTGTATTAGCCGAGCATATAGAAAAACAGTTATGAAAACTATGTTGGATGTTGCTAGAAGTACGTGAAAGAATCATGGCCGGCCCATTACCAACTGAGACCCCATTCGAATTCAAAAATGGGCTTTCTTTCCTTTATAAAAAATTTTGGTTTTTAGTTCAAAGGTCAAAAAAAATTTGGGTCCTAAACAATGGCTTCCTTTGCTTATGCCGTGGACCGGGCCTATGAAAAATGCAGTATTTAATCGAAACCCAAAACTTAAGTCAAAGATAAAACTAACCCTTTTCCTTTAGGCTTTGTGAATTGTAAAAAAAGGCTTGCAAGAACAAATGGGCTTTAGATTCTCTGCATCTGATCGAAAGTACAGAAGTCGTGACGTGCATCCTACAAGGCAACATACTACTGAATATTACGACGAGCGAACCCAACATCTAACTGTAAAAGTGATTAGGCGTGTGACAAACGCGCTTCACTAGCGCATCAATGCGTCAACGATCAAATCAAGCCTTGGAACACACAAAAGTTGTCCTTGTTAACTGTACTGTGGCAAAAACTATGTTTTACAGATTCCAACAAGTATTAAGAATCGATATATAGTGACAAAAAAAAAATCGATATATAAAAATTACCACTGATGTCAGTAAAAAAGTTATATGCCACATACAACGCAAGAGAGAGGTAAAAAAGGTTACTCCACTGATTATCCACTTTAAGAATAAAAAATAATAAATGGTAAAAAATCTAAAGAATATATGGTGAGAGTATCTCCAACCATGACACTAAATTTAGTATTAAAATTACACCAAATTTAGTATTTTGGTGTAAAATATTTTTTGGTCATTTCCAATTATAACACCAAACATTACACTAAAATTAATAATATTATATATTATTTAAAACTTTTAATTTTAATAATCTTTTTATATATTTTTATTATTTGTAATTGATAATAATTGTTTTATCACACTTATATATTATAATTATTAATTCTTTGTAATTTTATGTTAATAAAATTTATACATTTTTGATTTAATAATATTATATTTTGTATTTATTAAATCTTAACTTAACAATATTTTAATTTTATGAGTTCTGGAATTAGGGATGACGATTGAAAGACTAGTAAATACGGGTTCGATGTGTCAGTTACTGGTCTTAGACTATTCTCTCTCATCTATTATTGACTTTTTTTCTTTTACTTTAACAAAAAATCTTTTTTCCTTTTTTTGAACAATTAAAAAAAATCTTCGATGGGAAAAAGTAATCAAAAATAAAAGACATTAACTGTATTTTATGACCTTTTAAATTTGGCTTCAACCCTAAAGTAACAGAGAAGAGAGTGGTTCGTCATTTTTTACGGACACTGAGTATCGCCGGCTTCGCCATCATCATCTTCTTCTTCCTCTTCCTGTAAGTTTATCCAGTGAACTATTTTAATTCTTTCAATCTGCATTCCTAGGAAGAGTAAAAAAACAGAGATTCACTTTTCTGATCGATCTCGTTTGAATTCCAACTCACTTCTCAATTCCCTCCGCCTTGAACTCTTTAATTCCAATTAAAAAAATCCAACATGCAATTCAATTCACACAACGCTTTCTCAAGAATATAAAGAAATAAACTTTAATTAAAAAAAGGAATCATCTTTAGAGGAAAAAGGTAATGGAATGGACCTGCATTGTTAAAATTCGAAACCAGATCACATCTTTTTTTTTGGAATCATTGATAATTGATTTCATATTCTTTCTTGTAATCTTGACCCAAAGAACAAGATGGGGAGCACGGTGATCTTGAGCTCAGACGAAGAAGATTCAGACATTAGTGATTCCGAGATGGAAGAGTACGGAGACAAGATCTACCTAACTCTCAAAAGCGGTAAGCTCAAGGTGAAACTCTCTCCTCAAGCTTTCATGTGTCCGTACTGTCCGAACAAGAAGAATTTCCAGTACAAAGATCTGCTTCAACATGCTTCTGGAGTTGGTAATAGCAATTCCGACAAAAGAACCGCCAAGGAGAAAGCAAGCCACATTGCTCTTGCTAAATACCTCCAAGAAGATCCTGCTGATTCACAAGCAGAGCCTTCTTCAAAGCGAAGGAAGACTGGTGATCCTATTCAAGATTGTGACCAGGACGAGAAGCTCGTGTGTCCTTGGAAAGGTACACACTTACTAAACTCTAAAGAAAAGTCACTTTGTAGCTTTTCTCTTGAGCAGGGCCGGTCTTGCGCAAAGCCGAATGAAACATTTCAGGACCGGTCTTGGGCAAAGCCGAATGAAACATTTGCCTATATACCGAAAATAAAATTGAGGAAAATTGCATATATATAGCCCCAAATTTGTAAAAATAAATTTGTTGAAACCTGTACTAAAATCGCCTACAGCCCCTAAAATCTCAGGGCCGGCCCTGATCTTGAGGATGTTTTAATGGTTCTTGTGTGTGTATGTTTACTGAAACAGGTGTTGTGGTTAATATTCCAACTACAAAGACATCAAATGGCCGAACCGCGGGTGAGAGTGGGTCTAAGCTAAGAGATGAGTACATTCAAAGAGGGTTTAATCCGACCAGGGTTCGTACGTTATGGAACCACTGGGGGTTTTCTGGTACTGCGATTGTGGAGTTCAACAGAGACTGGAATGGACTTCACAATGCTCTTTCCTTCGACAAGGCTTATCTTGTAGATGGTCATGGGAAGAAAGACTGGTTGAGAAAAGATGGTCCTCCTAAGTCTGGTCTTTACGCGTGGATCGCTCGTGCTGATGATTACAACGGGAATAACATCATCGGAGAAGACCTGAGGAAGAAAGGTGACCTCAAAACTATAGCTGAGGTGACGGAAGAAGAGGCGAGGAAGCAGCAGAAGCTTGTGCAGAATCTGACGCAGCTTGTGGAGGAGAAGAAGAAAGGCGTCAAGAAAATTGAGGAGCTTCATTCAGCGAAGTCAAAGGAGCTTAAGGAGAAGTTGGAAGAGAAGGAGAAGAGTCTGCAGAAGCATAACAGCGAGCTGAATGCTATACAGGAGAGGACAATGGGTCATGTTAACAAGATCTTTGCTGATCATGAGAAGTTAAAGATGCAGCTGGAGCTGGAGAAGAAGAAACTCGAGATCAAGGGGAATGAGCTGGCGAAGAGGGAAGCACACAATGAAACTGAGAGGAAGAACTTGGCTGAAGATCTACAAGAGAATGCGTCCAAGAATAGCTCTCTTGAGCTAGCCTCTATGGAACAACAAAAGGCCGACGAAGAAGTTAAAAAACTGGCTGAGAATCAGAGGGTTAGTGTCTTTCCTCTTTCTTGTTCGTCTTACTAACAAAAATTTATGGCTCTGCTTTCACAATCATTCTTGAAACTGTGATGTGTAACCTATCTCAGAGGCAAAAGGAGGAGCTTCATGAGAAGATCATTAGACTAGAAACACAAAGAGATCAGAAACAAATGATCGAGCTAGAGATTGAGCGGTTGAAAGGAGAGTTGAATGTGAAGAAGCACATGGGATCAGACGGAGACGCCGAGATTGTGAAAGAAGTGGAGAATATCTATAAAGGTTTAACTGAGAAAGAAGAAGAACTTGCAGACCTAGACAAGTTTAACCAAACTCTTATACTCAGAGAGCGCAGAACCAACGATGAGCTTCAAGAAGCTCGTAAAGAGTTAGTAAACGTACGTATCAAAAGTGTTGTTACCATAACACTGAAATATAAACATCTGAATCTTTGGTTTTAACAATTTAACTGCATTTTGTTTTGTAGATTATGAAAGAGTGGAAACAAAATATCGGTGTAAAGAGAATGGGAGAGCTGGTGACAAAACCATTCATGGATGCACTGCAGCAGAAGTATTGTCAGCAAGATGTGGAGGACAGAGCAATAGACGTTATTCAGCTCTGGGAAGACTATCTCAAAGATCCAGATTGGCACCCATTCAAGCGGATCAAGTTAGAAAATCAAGAAAGAGAAGTGGTAAAGACCAAATGGTTTTGCTGTTTTTGGTTAAATGTTGAATCCCTTCTCTTTGAAAGATTAAGGTTTTTTTTTTTTGTGGGTTTATAGGAGGTGATAGATGACAGAGATGAAAAGCTGAGGGAGCTCAGGGAAGATTTAGGAGATGGTCCTTATAATGCGGTAACGAGAGCATTGTTGGAGATAAACGAGTATAACCCAAGTGGAAGGTACATAACAACAGAGCTATGGAACTTAAAAGAAGACAGGAAGGCTACACTTGAAGAAGGTGTCACTTGTTTACTTGATGAATGGGAAAAGTCTAAACGCAAGCGCGGAATGGCTTAAGGTTACTTCCGATGATAACCGAGCAAATCTATGTTTTTTCTTTCTGCATAATATGTTTGGATCATTTAGGAGTTGGTGCTGGCTGATGTTTCGCAGGTGCAAGGAGAAGGGAGACTAGCCTGAATAAAAAGCCGCTGATGCGGTATGTAGTTGCAGGGGAATGTGTTTCGTTTGATGAACCTTTGGTCTTTGTTTTTTCTTTTCTTTTATCAGAACTTACTAGTGGATTATGGGCACACAACTTTAATGGCTTGTGTTGTAACTCTGGACAACGAGTAATAATAATGACTCTATCTCATTGTAATATAACTCACATGTAACTACTAGATTTCCGTTTTTTTAGCATCCATGCAACACACAAGAACTCGTCGTGAAGTTCAGTTGTATACTACTCTCACGCCATTTTTTTTTGATAACCCAGTATCCGACCACTAAGCGTGATCGACTAGCCCACCGAGCCTAAGTCCATGCCATGACAGGATTTTTAAGCGTCCACTTAAGGGTCCCTGGTTACGCTAAGTGGTCTGGAGCGCCACACCAACTCCGCAGGTAAATTATGTGGTGGCCGGGGTTCGAAGTCGGATGGCGGACACCTCAGCCGAGTTTCCTTTACCACCAGGCTACGAAGCCCGGTTTCTCACGCCATTTGGTTCGTAAAAGGTTTTCAAACTTTTTTTTTACATCAAACGGCTATTAAGTTTTCAAACTATTGTTACAATCTTATACTATACATGGCTGTATTGATCTTATCAATCTTAACTTCCATCATCAACTCATTTTCTTTTTGTCCACCAAGGATATCTTCCACGCTTGATGAATCTAAAGTGAATGAAGTGAAACGGGCATGTATGTTGAGTTTCTAGTAGAGGTTGTTTGTTATTAGATTCAAACGGATTAAAATCAAACAAAATCATGTGTTATAAGAGATTGTTTGTTATGTAGAGTTTTTAGTAGAGGATGTTTTTTGTTGTTGTTAATCACCCATAATTCAATTATTTAAGTATTGATTAAAAATTTACACAATTTTATACACAAATTTTTGAAGTCACTACCTGAATGCCAAATACCATTGTAGTGATGTATCTTTCAGAACATACGAAGATTTCTGTAACTTACGAAAAAATTCTATGAAAATACAAAGACATAAATCTGAAAGAACTACGAATATGTAAAATTTACTTATTAAATATTGAAATCACCGAGTTTTATTTTTTCTTTCCTTATGTCTGAAAATTGTCTCTACATTATGGAACTTAAAATGTTAGCATTCTTTTTATAGAATGTCGTTAAAAATTTGTTAAAAAAAAAATTAAAAAGAGAGAGAAATTAGCTTCATTTGCTTTTACAGTTTGAGCAAAATATTAAACATAAACATGTTAGAAACAATAGAAGAAGATGACATATTTTCTTTATGACAAACAAAATATCTTTAAGCTTAGCCTTTGGTTTGACATCCAAGCTCTTCTTTAAACACAAGTGAGCGCCTGCCATTCCTGTGTAAGCTGTACACTGCGTTTTGCTAATCAAATATCAATATTAATTACCCTGATTAGGTTCATAGTATACGGGCTTTACCCGTAAAGGCCCAATACTACTTTCCCTTCGATTCATTTCTCGGAATATCTCTCTCCTCCTCCGATAAGCTCTCTCTCTCTCTCTCTCTCTCTCTAGAAATCGTTGAAGAATCCTGATTCCAAATCAATGGCGACTTCGCTAGCCCGAATCTCTAGAAGATGCGTCACCTCATCTGTATCTTCGAATCTGATCCGGCGTTACTTCGCAGCGGAAGCTGTAGCCGTAGCCACGACGGAAGCTCCTAAGCCCAAATCGGAGGTGACGCCGTCTCCGAATCGGGCGAAATGGGACTACAGAGGCCAAAGACAGATCATTCCTCTGGGACAGTGGCTACCTAAAGTCGCTGTCGACGCTTACGTGGCACCTAACGTTGTCTTGGCCGGTCAGGTCACAGTCTGGGACGGCTCATCCGTCTGGAACGGTGCCGTTTTGAGGGGAGATCTCAACAAGATCACCCTTGGGTTCTGTTCGAATGTACAGGAACGGTGTGTTGTTCACGCCGCCTGGTCGTCCCCAACAGGTTCTTGACTTCTTGTTCTCTTTATGTTACGATAAACGTTGTAACTTGTTATGGTGATTAGTGACAATACAAGAAATTAGTTGAATAGATTAGTATGTATAGTGCTGGGCGGTTCTGAGATTTTGGGGCTGAAGGCGATTCAGTAAATGTTTTAATAGATTAGTATGTTATGATTCAGTGAATGTTTTAATAAAAAAAGTTATCTTTCTACAAATTTGGAGGTTTTTTCTTTACAAATTTTGGAGTTTTTTTTACAAGTTTATAGGCGAATGTCTCATTAGAATATTACATCGGAAGTTGCTTAGATGCTCAGGACAAGTTTTGGAACAAAATATCTGATCTTTACAAGTTTTACTTTCTACTTTGGAAAATTTCAGGATTACCAGCTGAGACATTGATCGATAGGTATGTGACAGTTGGTGCATACAGTCTCCTAAGATCATGCACTATCGAGCCCGAATGCATCATCGGGCAACACTCGATACTGATGGAAGGTTCGCTGGTGGAGACACGGTCAATCCTGGAAGCTGGTTCGGTTGTGCCACCTGGAAGGAGAATCCCATCTGGTGAACTCTGGGGAGGCAACCCAGCGAGGTTTATTCGAACTCTCACCAATGAGGAAACCTTGGAGATTCCGAAACTCGCTGTTGCTATTAACCACCTTAGTGGAGATTACTTCTCTGAGTTCTTGCCTTACTCAACTGTCTATCTTGAGGTTGAGAAGTTCAAGAAATCCCTTGGGATTGCTGTTTAGAAAGCTTTCCTTTTCCAGGTTTTCTGGCTGATTCCCTCATTTTGAAGCTTCCTTTTGTGTTTTCTAATCTAATCTTAATAAGTGGCTGAGGAACAAGAAGAAAATCAAAGCTCTGTTTCCAAATGTTGTCTTCTCTGTTTGTTTTGTTAAATTCATATCCTTGCGTTCAAACTTTCTATAATAAGATGATAATGGTGAAATCTTCTTTTTTTTTTAATCTTTTCTCCTCTAATTATATCAGGGCTGGTGGCTTCAGATTTGCTGCAATTTTCGTAATCGATTCTTATACATTGATTAAATAAAAAAAGTCGTTTCAAAGTTCCGGGCCGGAAGTGTACGGCCCATGAAGATTAAAATTCTTAATTGTGTCCCTTCTATATTATTAAAACAGAATTACCAATAAAAATTACCCCTTAAACTTACAACTTATTTACAACTACATGCCATTGAAATAATTAAATTAACATATATTTAAGTAAGTTTTATCTTTTTCAAAATTGAAATAATTAAATTAACATATATTTAAGTAATTTTTGTCTTTTCCAAAATTAATGAAGTAATAATTACTTTTAACTATATATCTCCTATGTCTTTTCCAAAATTAATAAAACATTTCCAAAACTGATTAACGATAAATCATTATAATTTTTTAACTTACATATTGCATATCAATACTATAAACATTATAAACATTAATGCCATCAAGAATATATACAAAATATTTATATAAGAATTTTATTAACTTACATATTGCATGGATCATATTCAAAAGATGGTGATGATACAATTCACGATTTACAAGACAAATGTATTCATCAATATAAACTATAAAATTATTATATTTATAAATATTATTATTGAACGCGGATAAATTTTGAATATATATTATCACTTAGAAAAAAAATATTTAAAAAAGACTAAAAATAATATCCATGTATACATGGTTTAAATGTACACAAACTTAAGCCCATTTATAATTATATCAGTTACATCAAGTTTAAATCTTAATTTTTCTATTTTCCAAATTTTGTAGAAGCTCAACAATCATTTCATTTTATTACAAATGTTATAGCTAATGTATCATTTAAAATTAACATGTTAATTCATAATTGTTTATTTTCGTATTTTTCGTTTAAAGAATTTATTTGTTATATATATTAGACATGGATCTGATTATATAAATGTTGGAATTGGTTATATGATACTCAATATCGAGAAGACATTTTATGCTAAAAAGAAAAATAAAAGATTAAGTACAAATATAATTTATATTTACAAATACGGCTACATTTACAAATATAACACTAAGTATAAACATAAATTAAAATATAAAATTAACGGTCGCACGGGTCAAGATCTAGTTAAGGATTGATACACAAACTCACCATTTCCTATCATTATGATTGTAAGTTTGTGACATCACAAAATAATCATAAAACCCACAGAAAAAACGTAAACAATGATCAAGACAGTGGTGCCTCACTTGGGACTCTTGTTATGTGGATCCGGAGTAATGTTCACGATATACACTTATCGTGTTTTATTAGAAACTAGTTTCACATATAATCCAATCAGTACACACTTGAAACCACTTGAGTTCTTCTCACTTGAAAGTTTGTGGCTTTTAGAGCTTGTCTTGAGGCTGCTTGGCCTTATGTAAAAGTTGTAGGCAAAGTTTTGATACTTGTTGAGAAGCTCAATGCAAGTCAATAACGTTTGAGCTGAACCTTGAAATGATAATCGCGAATGTCTATAAATTAATGAGTTGATTACACTTACATACACTTTTTGACTTTAATTTACACTTAGAGACATTTTTTACATGTGATATACTTTGTTGTGGATAAAGCGTTAAAATATAGACAATTTTCCCTTGATGGAAACGACAACTGTGGACATTAAGATTATATGTGGACGGGCAATTTGTGGACGGAGTATACGTGGACGGGTGATGTGTAGATAAGTGATGAGTAATGTGTGGACATGCTATGCTAAGGTGTTTATAGCTAGTAGATAAGGTGGACAAATTTTATGTTTTGATTCCACAAAACTATACCACAATACATGGACATGGATTCATATTACAAAAATTATACCACAAAATGTAGACATATACTCTGTTATCAAAACCCTCACCGAAAAAGAGAGATTTTGTCCATACCTAACTTATATGTTTTGATACGACAAGTTGTGGACTGAATCAACACCATAACTAGGACCAAGATGTGCAAGCTGGTGAAACGTTCTTTATAAGTGGAGTTCCTTAAGTGGAGTTCCTCTCCTTAGGTCTCTCGTTGTTGAGCTTGGACAGATACTTAGAGTGTTCCAGGTACTTTGACATCTCCTAGGGAACAAGATAGCAAACATTTTTACTATTGATGTATTCATATAAGTACAAAATGACTAGAGGTTTGACTTTTTACATTAGGGAGTTTGATATAACCACTTGGAGCAATATGATCATGCAGAGTCATTAGAAGGTGTTGTTACCAAAAATAATTTGATTATATAAGAAGATAGAGAGAAGGTGTACCTGAACATAGTCGTT